ACGAGCAGGCCAGGGAAGGATGTTAATGTGGTGAAGGCAGTCCTGGGACACTCTTTCTGTGTGTGGCCGGAAAAAAAATGAAATCATGTTGAAACGTGTGGTTGAAAGATGTGACAAACGTACTGCTGAGCTGATATGGCATCAATAATAAAAGGTCCCCCCAGTGGATTGTTCGTTAAGACACGGTTCCCAGCAGATCACCGAAGTCAACCATCACTGGCTATGGTCAGTGTGCGGGTGGGTGACCTCTTAGATTAGTCTGCGTAGGGACCGAGGGTGTGCGGTATGGGTCCTCGTTGAACTGTTCTACCGTAAAGTGCTCGACTTCGCGTGCAGGTTGTCGGGCTACCGAAGCGGGGGTGCCATCCCCTCTGCAGAGGATCAACATTGTGATGGCATGTCTTCTGATCATCTTCAGGGATGGTTCATAGGCCGTCGCCAATAGCCCATTGTGCAGCTCTAGTGCGATGACAATGAACAGCAACAATAATGAAGTGTGAGTGACTGTGTGTCGTATGCGATGGCATTAAATACCATCACATCAGCTGTAGGATCAGGTTGATATTAACAAATCAGGTTGGTAACTAACAAATCAAACGCACTTCAGTTCCGCAGTACGAACGTACTTTAATACAGTCCTTAAAAACAAAATACCTCTAGTTACGCTTTTAGCTCAATTTGCGCTTTTGTTTTCATTTTTTGCAATCTTGCTACGAAAATATTTTAAATCATTCTTGAAAAATATCCCCCGTTCATGTAAGTTCATTTGAATCCGTTACTCGCTTTACAGATTTCATTTCAAGATTTATTCTGTTTTTTTTCCTTATATTTTATTTTCTGTTTTTACGTGTTATTTTTATTTATTGAGCTCTATTTTATTTGTTGTAATTTTTTTGTAAAATTTTTTGAGTGCTTTTCACACTATTGTATTGATATATTTTGCTTTGGCTNTTAGTTTCATAATTTTTATTCTTACCTTAAAAATTTCGACGTTGTTTTCAGATTCATTTTCTGTTCTCTGTATAAGTCATTTATTCTTGTTGTAATTTTATGTGTTTTATGTATGTTTTATGTATGTTTTGTCTGTAGAATGTTTGTTCTACTCTCGTGTGCCCTGAATAGGGCGGGTCGAGGTATTAATAAACAATTGCAAGTCTACGAAGTTGAACATTAGTAGTCATAAACCCCCAAAAAATTGTGTCGGCTTTTCAATAACGGTTGTAAAATAAAATTGCTGACTAATCTGGGGAACGAGCAGGCCAGGGAAGGGTGTTAATGTGGTGAAGGCAGCCCTGGGACACTCTTTCTGTGTGTAGCCGAAAAAAATGAAATCATGTTGAAACGTGTGGTTGAAAGATGTGACAAACGTACTGCTGAGCTGATATGGCATCAATAATAAAAGGTCCCCCAGTGGATTGTTCGTTAAGACACGGTTCCCAGCAGATCACCGAAGTCAAGCATCACTGGTTATGGTCAGTGTGCGGGTGTGTGACCTCTTAGATTAGTCTGCGTAAGGAACGAGGGCGGGCGGTATGGGTCCTCGTTGAACTGTTCTACCGTAAAGTGCTCGACTTCGCGTGCAGGTTGTCGGGCTACCGAAGCGGGGGTACCATCCCCTCTGCAGAGGATCAACATTGTGATGGCATGTTTTCTGATCATCTTCAGGGATGGTTCATAGGCCGTCGCCAATAGCCCATTGTGCAGCTCTAGTGCGATGACAATGAACAGCAACAATAATGAAGTGCGAGTGATTGTGTGCGATGACATTAAAAACCATCACATCAGCTGTAGGATCAGGTTGATATTCCCCCACCATTGCCTTCGTTTGGTGTGGTGTCGTGCCAGTGGACTGCGATCAAATTTAAGCAGGCTCACTTCAACGACAAACTTGTTTGGGCAGTCACAACAATCATGTATGTGTGGATTTTACAGTACACCGTTCCTACAGCTGGTATTATGACACGCAATCACCCCTTATAACACTCGTGACATTCTTCAACTACATGTGCTGCCTTTCATTTTTCAACAGGACAGCTAACACAAAGGGATATCCTTCACCCAATTTATCCCCTTCCCTGACCTGCTCGATCCCCAGATTTGTAACCTGTGATTTGTTGAGGTGGCGAATTAGACATCTTACTAGTTTCATCAAATGAAATATATATAGTAGAGAAAACATGGGAAAAATTACAGAACAATGAAAAAAGGGGAAAAAATAACAAGAAATCGGAAAAAAAGGATTCCAAAAAAAAAGGAAATTTTTTTTTTTATATCTGGAATATGAAAGATATAATCTTTTCATCAGCTCACACGATTATATCCACAAAAAAGAGCGCTTCCTAATGCTGTATCAATAAAGCCAAAGCAAAATATATCAATACAATAGTGTGAGGAGCACTCAAAATATTTTACAAAAAAAATTTCTCTTCTCTATTTAATTTTTTTCCCTTAAATAAATAGTAATCTTCTAAAATTATTAATTGTCAACTTCTTTAAATTATCCAGTATAATTTTACCTTGCGCACATCCATTTCCGGGTCCATCCTTCGTAACTAACAAATCAAACGCACTTCAGTTCCGCAGTACGAACGCACTTTAATACAGTTCTTAAAAACAAAATACCTCTAGTTACGCTTTTAGCTCAATTTGCGCTTTTGTTTTCATTTTTTGCAATCTTGCTACGAAAATATTTTAAATCATTCCTGAAAAATATCCCCCGTTCATGTAAGTTCATTTGAATCCGTTACTCGCTTTATAGATTTCATTTCATGATTTATTCTGTTTTTTTTTCCTTATATTTTATTTTCTGTTTTTACGTGTTATTTTTACTTATTGTGTTCTATTTTATTTGTTGTAATTTTCTTGTAAAATTTTTTGAGTGCTTTTCACACTATTGCATTGATACATTTTGCTTTGGCTATATTGATACAATATTAGAATGCACTCTTTTTTGCGGATATAACCGTGGGAGCCGATAAAAAGATTATATCTTTTATTTTCCGGATTTTTTAAAATTTTTTTCCTCTTTTTGTGGAATCTTTTTTTTTCCGGTTTCTTGTTATTATTATTTTCCTTTTTTTCCCCTATTTTCATTGTTCTGTAATTTTTCTCATGTTTTTTCTACATTTTGAACTTAATTTATGAGTACTATTTACTTGCAGCTTATGCGCAATAAATAAAACTTATTGCTTTTCTTAATTTTCTTCGTGTTTTTTTTTGTATTTATTTATTATGCTATATATATATATATATACCCATTCATGGCAACAGTTTTTCCTGCGGGGCATGGTGTTTACCAACAGGATAATGCACCATGTCAAAAGGGTCGAATCACCGAGGAACATTCCAGTGACTTTCAAGTCATGTCTTGGCCCCCAAATTCACCTGACCTTAATCCAATAGAGCATTTGTAATCCTACTTGGAAAACCAAATTCGTGCTGCCACGCTACCCCCTCGCAATGTGAGGGTATTGCAGGACCAGTTGGTGAGCGCTTGGTACCAGATACCTCAGACTACCTATCAGCACCTTGTGAAATCAGTGCCATGGCCGGTTCTAGCAGTTTTGAGGGCTAAAGGTGGTCCTACATGTTATTAGCAGGGTGGCCATAATGTAATGGCTCTTCGGTGTANCAAAAATAATGTAGTTTTTCCGATCACTGATTGGAAGGTTGATTTTTTGAGGTAGTTTCAGAAGTCAACTTAAAATTAACCCGAAATTAACCTTAAAATCTCAAAAATCAACCTCAAATAAGTTTCAAACAAATAAACAGAGTTCGTCTCATTAAAGTAGTGAAGTAATTACTACAATTCCAAAGTAGTTCGTAGTCACTACATTTAAAAAAAAAATTGTAGTTGTAGGTGACTACATTCGTAACAAAGTAGTTGTAGCAAACTACAAAAATAATGTAGTTTTTCCGATCACTGATTGGAAGGTTGATTTTTTGAGGTAGTTTCAGAAGTCAACTTAAAATTAACCCGAAATTAACCTTTTACTACAATTCCAAAGTAGTTCGTAGTCACTACATTTAAAAAAAAATTGTAGTTGTAGGTGACTACATTCGTAACAAAGTAGTTGCAGCAAACTACAAAAATAATGTAGTTTTTCTGACCACTGCCAAAAAGGACACATACAGGCAAACAATAGTTTCGATTTTATTTTGAACAAGAATTTGCCTCAGTGTCTCAACACAAAATGACAGTAGAAAACTAGAGCGACAAGCACTTGATTTAACCAGCTCGGAAATGGTAACAAGATTGAAGGAGGTAATAAAAGAGGAAACAAGCGTACATTCACCAGGAGTCTGAGGCACTTGACTCCGCCTTCATCATGAGGTATCCCACGATACTATTTCATTATTTTTGGGAGAAGGATGTGAACAATCCTGAACAAGGTGGCTATTTGGCGATAGTGTGACAAAAATATTTATTTAGCAATCTTTAGGTGCATTTTTTAAAGATTAAATTCATAAATTTGCTAATATTTCTCTCTCTAAGAGTGAATAGTTTATCCTGTTTGAGACATTTTGCTGCAATATATTTAATTAGTAACAAAACGTATAACAGAAGATGATAATGTGAAGTAAGTGATTGAAAAATAATTCAGTGTCTTCGTTTGGCGCGCAATAAGTGTTGTCTCAATTTCAAGCGCGGAGACGTTTCTCCTCTTTCTCCCGCACTGAAATGAACTCTTCGTCCGAGGAGGTGGAGCCAAGTGCCAACTCCTGGTGAACGAACTATAACTGCAGGGTAAAAGATGTAGAAATTTGAATAGATTTAGCAGGTATTTGTCCTGTTGCTTTTCTACTGTCATTTGGTGTTTCTGAGCAACGTTTTTGTTTATAAAACCGAAACTATAGTATGCTCGTTTCCATATCTTTATTTGTGTTTTATTCGTGGTATTTTTTGCTTTACTCATTGCATGTATTTCAGGAAGTTTATATAAAGCATAATCACATACAAATAAAATATTTTTTAATCACAAATATTAAAGAATAGTAGATTTAATTTTTTTCACTGGAGTCTTTATAGAAAATAATTTCATACTTTACATTATATCGTATATAAATGTTGTATAATAATATTATTTAGAATATTAAAAGGATTGGAGATTTCAAGCGAGAGGAATGAGAATGAGATCAGGGAGGTAGACGGTGTGGTTGGAAGAGAGATGAGTTGTTTTGTTCCTTCTTCGGCTCCAGGAATAAAAAAAATATATATGACGCTGCCTACAATTAAATTCATCTACTTGGATTCTGGATGAGGACCGGCCAAAATGGTCTTTACGAAAGCTGAAAAAAGCGACAATAATTATTCCATTGAATGATTGAAAATGAGAATTACTAGAAGCAGCTAACAGTCAAGCGAGAAGCAATTGTGAAGCTAATGCTGGATCTGTATTGTGCAGCAAGCTAAATAAAGCATAGCAAAGCAGACTGAAGAACGTCAATTTTAGGCAACATATAAAAGCTGGCTAAATTATAAAAACTAAAAATGTGTGGAAGCAGACGATTGCAACATTTCAAAGCAACTTATATGGAAGCAAACTATTTTGCAGTTATTTAAAGCAACATGTGTAGAAGCAAACTATTTTGCAGCAATTTAAAGCAACATGTATGGAAGCAAACTATTTTAAAGCAATTTAAAGCAACACTTGTATCGAAGCAAACTATTTTGCAGTAATCTAAAGCAACACATGTATGGAAGCAAACTATTTTGCAGCAATTTAAAGCAACACATGTATGGAAGAAAACTTCGTTACAGCAAATTTAAAGCAACATGTATGGAAGCAAGCTACTTTGCAGTAATTTTAAAGCAACATGTATGGAAGCAAGCTACTTTGCAATAATTTTAAAGCAACATGTATGGAATAAAACTACTTTGTAGCAATTTTAAAGCAATATGTGTGGAAGGAAACTATTTTAAAGCAATTTTAAAGCAACACATGTATGGAAGCAAACTATTTTGCAGCAATTTAAAGTAACACATGTATGGAAGCAAACTATTTTGCAGCAGTCTAAAGCAACACATATATGGTAGAAAACTATTTTGCAGCAATTTTAAAGCAACACATGTATGGAAACAAACTATTTTGCAGCAATCTAAAGCAACACATGTAAGGAAGAAAACTATTTTGCATCAATTTTAAAGCAACATGTATGGAAGAAAACTTCTTTACAGCAGTTGTATAGCAACATGTTTGTGAGCAAGGTACTTTGCAGAAATTTTAAAGCAACATGTATGAGCACCACCTGATCATTGTCATTTTCATGCAGGAAAAAAAAACTATTTTGCATCCATTTAAAGTATGGGGAAATATTGTTAAGGGCGTCAATTTAAAGCAACGCATGTTAGAGTGGACTAAAAAGTGAAGCAACACTACACGAGAGCAGAAAAAAGAAAACTTATTTTGCAAAGACTTACCGTCGTATTTAATGTAACCATCTTCATCTTCAGGTGGACAGCAAGCAGTGAAAATTTCATCGACTTCTTTGTCGTTTAGTTTCTCACCTGCAATCAAAACGCATCGTTTAAAATTTTCTTCCCACAGTTTTCATCACATCAAAATATTTTAATGAACATTTATCGATTTCGCAATAAGTTTTTATTTCCTAGCCGGGTTTGAACAGCTGACCCATTTTTTTAGTAGTCTCGTCATTGTATTTTGAATTCCTTCCCAGATGTGAGTTTAAGCATGTGAGATTTTTAATGAAACTCACTCTCAATTGCGTTACATGAAAACCACACAAATCCTTTCACTATTAACCCAAATGGTCAAGAGTCTACCACTGAGAATATTTTACGTCAGCAGTGCGAGCTGCAAATTAGAATTTGTATTGACTAGCCAACACTTGGATTCGAACCTGGGTCACCCCACTGGAAGGCGAGTGTATTATCTCCTGAGTCACTGCGGCTCTGTACCGTAAATTATGATTATTTAGTTAATTCTAATTAAAAGAATTATAAATAAAACAATAATAATATAGGGTGGTACATTGTTCCATTAATGTTTGTTTTAAGAGTTTTAGTTTTTCTCTTATTTTTCCATTTTTGTGGCCCAACAAAACTGCGGTCTATCCACCACAAGTTCAACAAATCTAAACGTGTTCCTAAGGAGAAATAATAATCGACTATGTCATCTATCAAACTCTAAATAGATTCTAATTAACATGTCTTATGTACTAGTGAATTGGTATTTATAGTGGTAATTACGCCACATTACTCCCCTTCGAGAATTTAAATATTTTTGATGAAATTCCATGAAAGAATACCACTAGTTTATTTAACTTTATTTATTTCCGCCTCATTATTGTTCTTCATTTACTTATTATCCGGGGAAATTGTATTGACTTTACCGGATTTTTGAGCGCTATTTCATGAGCAAATCAACTGTCGACCATAAATCGATGATGGTGAATTCGTATCACGTCCGGGTCACCAATTAACTATGTCACCCTTCATCTATCTAGAGAGGTAGAATTACTCACCGAGAGAGAGAAGTACGTGGGCCAATTCAGCTGCCATCATTGTTCCGTTTTCATTCTTGTCGTACACTTTCAGACCTTCTAGTAAATCTTCGATCTGACCAATATCCTTGGACTTCTTGCACGAACTGAAGATGGGAAGGAATTCTTCTAATGTCAACATTTTTTCACCTGCAAATGTCCATACAATTTTATTTAATGAATCTATTTAGAGGCTATCAGTAGTAAGAAGAACAACAGAAATATAGATTCGAGTTTCCTTGTTTCTATTATGTTTTTAACCGCTTCCCTGCTGTATGTATAGATTTTATTTTATAACCGTCGTTGAACAGTCGACCCAATTTTATGGGTTTACGACTACTAATGTTCAACTCCGTCATTTCGACCCCAATCCAGAAGACAAGGAAACTCCTGGATCAAGTACTGGGAGAAATTTGTTCGTGGCGGACGTTGTTTGATGGAACTAACCCACATTTGCGTTACGTGGAGAGGAAAACCACTAGAACTTCCCACGGTTATCCTGACGGCAAGAGTACCATGATTCGTTTACCACTGAGGATATTTTACGTCAGCACTGTGGTCAGTGCAAGCCGGAATTCGTATCGGGTATGTATATATATAGGAAATATTTTGTGCTATGACCTTTTTTTTCGGCCGGTATCAAAACAAAAAATAATCGGCTGTGATTGGAAGTTTATCCAATTTTTGTGGATTGCAGACGTGTTTTGTATAATTGTATATACACGATGGCTGAGGAATTTACTTAGAAAGAGTAAAAAAATGGCTTTCGCGAGGAAAAGTAATTCAGATGATGTGAACATATACAAAGACTAATATTTAACTTGCTTTCATTTGCCCGAATTCATTTGGGATAGTAAACTGATGATAAATTAAGTATTTTTTTTTCACGTAAAAAATTTGAATTTCAACTTAGAACTTTGCGTATTATGTTTTAGTTCCTCGTATTTATAAATGAAATAAAAAAATAAGTCGATTTTTTAGCTTTTTTTTTCATCAGTAGAAATATTTGTAGAATAGTTGCAAACAAAATTCTTAAACTTCAGTAGTTAAGAGACTCTACTGAAAAACCTATTTTCATTACTGAAACGTTAAGACCTTGACTTTCAAATCGCAATAATTACGGGTAAATCGGAATATCCTCTGAATATACGACAATCAAAATAGAAAAGGAATTAACTGCTTTTAACTATATTTACATCTATTGAGTAAAGATTATAAACCAAGAAGGCACAAATTCATAGTGAAAAAAACAACAAAGTGACGAGCATTTTTTAGTCAATAGGGAGATTTCGAAATAAATTTTAACTTTTAAACTAAAATGTATAGCAATTAAATTTAACTATATATTGAATTTTTCATTGCAACGTAATTAAATCCTAATTTTATGAAAAAAATGTATTGAACCTAATTACTTTGAAATAAAGCATTTTTCAAAAAATATTAGCTAATAAGATGCACACATCAGAATAAGAAAATGTCATATTTTTGTGCAAGATATTAAAAGAATGAAAATTTCTTTTTTATGACAGTTATAAAAAATAACATATTTTTAAAAAAAAACTATCAAAAGTTAAGTAAAAAGTTAATCCAATTATTATTATATTCTTGTGAAAAGTTTCTGCTACTTCAGTTAATTGTTTCGCATTTAAGCTTCCCGAAATGAAAAACTAGCAATTTCATTAAAAAAAAATATATAAATATATATTATGTAAGAAATTGCTGGTTTTTAATTCCAAGAACACTGGGACCCTGCAATATATTCCGTGGCCCAGTTTGAATAATATGGGTTAACATAGGGGCGTGAATATAGGGCCGGATATAGAATAAAGGGGTGGATATAGGGCCATGTAGAAATACAGCATATTTGCCTCGAATATCCTAATTTTAACGCTATTAAACACAATATTACATGTATACATACATAGTGACCTATAGGACCACATTGTGTACCCCCCAATAAGTCTATATATATTTCTTCTGGTGGAGTACACTATTACCCGGTAAAATAATACGTGGTCCAATTTGAATATGATAGGTCAATATTAGAGGCCAATATAGGGCCATATTTTTATACAGAATATTAACTTCAAATTTCCTCATTTTAACGCAATTCAACACATTATATATATTCATACATAGTAACCTATAAGAACACATTGTGTACCCCCTAATAAGCCTATAATTATTTGATCTGGTGGGGTACACTATTACCCGGTAATATAATACTTGGTCTAATTTGAATAATTAGGGTCAATAAATAGGGAAGATACAGGGGCTTGATGTATTGTTAAATTCTAATTTCTTCATTTTAAAGCTATTGTATATATACATACATCGTAACCTATAGGGACAGATTGTGGGCCACCTAATTGGCCTATAATAATTTCCTCTAGTAGGCTACACTAGTACCCGGTAATATAATGCTTGGAATATTAAGGGGGAGATAATGTTTACCTTCTTTTTTTGTGCCTCCAGATTTTTCGACTGTGTCTTGTGTCACACTGAGGTCTAAAGCTCGGAGTAAAGAGCCCAACCACACAGCGTCAATTTTTCCTTCTCCTGTTGTGTCATACACCTCAAAAGCTGCCCTGCACTCTGAAAAACAAACACACAAATCAGTTAAAATGTTCTTCCTTTTTGAATGAAACTTCTTAAAAAATTTCGATTACTATTCAATTAGAATAGTCAATTTCAATTCTTAGTAATTATTTGACTGAATTTTGAAACTATGGAAGGAATTAATATAATGTATTCTACGAAAACTTTATAAAAAAAACTTATATTATTTATGATTCGAACTAACCATGCAAACTAGACAATCTGTGTTCGATTTATTAGGGTATGATACGATATCAGGTTGGTAGTCGGGCTGGGACCACCATTGCCTCTTAAAGAATAAATTTAGTAGCTTGGCGCAGCAAACATAAACTGCGCAATGGGGGAAAAATAAGAAAGATGTCACTGCATTCTGGCTACTAAAGGATCGGATTTCTCGGAAATTGATATTTAGTTCGAGAAATATTAAATGTTAAACTTGTGGGCAAAAAATACCATTCGGGTCACCCTTCAGACTATGCATAATTAAAATTTGGCAAGTTGAAAGGGCAACATTTTTTGATAAATTTAACAGAGTTTTTTCTTAAAATTCCAATTTGTTCTAAGGTTAGTGTAATTTCAAGTGCTTTTTTTTCCGAAACTTTCTCATTTAATTTTGGCTTACGTTAAATGTTGCTCTGATGCTCGAAATATATGACTAGAAAACTTTAAACTATGAAGATGTGTCCAAAAATATATTAGAAATTCGATGAAAAGAAATACGGTTCGATTACTAGTTTAAAATACCCTGTGGGTCGATCTATCGCTCGTTGAAATGCAACTATAGAGTTGAAATTCGTTGTGCTGATAGGACCATTTTAAATTATAACTTCAACAAGATTTTTTTTTTTTGAAATCGCATTTGTTCGAAAGTTATTGCAGTTTTAAATTCTTTTTTCGTGATTTTTTTTTAAAATAATTGTTGTAAGAAAATTTATATCCCTCGCAATTTTCATTTCATAAGATCATGCCTGACTGGCTGTCAAAAATAAAAATAAGAGTAGATTTCGAAATTTTTCAAAATATATAAAGAGTGAATAGTGATAAAAACCGAACTGTTGATAAAAGTTGTATATTGTTAAATTACTTCGCATTTTTAATATGTCGCATATTCTGTAAATTATTGTTTTTTTTCATTTGATTAGTTTTTTTTTAAATCCAGTCATCTTTTTATTTCAATATGATTAACATACTAACAAAACCCTATAATAAAATTCAAATAATTATACTTTTTCTAAGCCAAATGATATTTTTTATCAACGGCTTATGTCCTTTAAAGCTGATTTGAGAAAAAAAAATGAAATTGTTCACGGACAAGATCTGAGAGTTATAACTCTCGGGGAGTACCGATTTTTTCGATTTACCAAAATTCTGTCATCCTCAAAATCCACCAGATAGCAATGCTATCGTAAAGTGTGAGAAATTTTTTTTATATAAACCATTCCTGTCTCTTGATCTTCAATAGTGAACGAAAAGCAATCACGGGGTTTTCTGAGCGAAGCGTACAGGGGTTGATCCTCTTAGTTATTAAAAAAAAAATTACAGTATAACCACATAGTCTTGCTAACTAATAGATGAATAACTTCGCTAATGCTTCATGAGATTACTCTCAACGGAAATTCTTTATTTTGCTTAAAACAGTTCGATGTATAAGTTTTATTTGCAAATAATTCATAAATCCATTTATTATAATTTGATTTATGAGAAATAAACAGTAAAATTAAATGAGCATAAAAGCATTCAGAACTGTTTATCGGTAAAATGGCGAGGAATGAATGATGTAAAGATAGTTTAAAAATAAGGAAAATTAGAAAAAAAATATTAAAAAAATAATAAATTCAGGAAATTTGATAATTGTTGATCAGAATTGAAACGTGATTATCTTTTTAATTCCTGCTATTAGTTCACACTCTTCCTATATCTTGTTCATATTTTCAATCTTTCATAAAAATACTTTTCATTTATCCACTCAAGTTCAAATACAATTTTTTAAACTTGTAGAGCAGGGGTGTCAAACTCGCGGCCCGAGATGAACATTTTTGCTGCCCAGTCAATATATCCGACTCAAAGTAAAAATAAAATAGAAATGTGAATTGGAAAGGAAACTAGCATATGAAATTATAATATTCTTTATTTATAAACTATACGGATCATTTTAAATTGTATGAAAATGTAAAATTCGAATTGACTTGCGGCACCTGCCATTCCAGGGATACTGCATCATATCAAAAATAAGCAGAAAAATATAAAATTTCTCAATAAATATAGACTCAGTACCCAGTAATATGCAAATGGAAGTGATTGAGATTCAATGCGACTCAAATTTGAAGGCAAAATTCATTGACGTGGGTGTGACTGAATTTTACAAATATTTACCGGCAAGGTTTGAAAATACTCGAAAATTCGCATCTGAAATTATTTCCATGTTTGGAAGTACTTATTCAGTGCGAGCAATTATTTTCTGTTATGAAAGGAAATAAATCTGCTGTTCGAAACCGTATTAATAACGCTCACGTTGGGTCAATTTTGAAAGTAGTCACGGCCAATAAAATTTCTCCCGAAATAGGAAAGATAGTAGCAGAGAAGAGATGTCAAATATCAAACAATAATTTAACTTTATATACGTTTATTACAATGTACTATTCAAAATAAAAATATTTGTTTCTATGAACATTGATTTTTTTTTTGCGGCCCACCTAAAGTTAAGCCTTGTTTATTTGGCCCAAGTTAGCTTTTGAGTTTGACACCCCTGGTGTAGAGGAAGATACTCGATGCAGTTTTTGAAATTTTTAATTCATTCATTAAATAGGGATGAGAAAAAAACGAAACGAAATTTCCTAATGGGCTAAGCATTAGTCATTGTTTTAAATTTTACTGGAAGCAATTTAGTTTTTCACATATTTTAAAGATAACACCAGTCATACTTATTGAACAAAAAAAAATAGTTTATTGCTCGCATTTAAATATTTAATTATTTTATATTGGTTGTGTTAGATAAATTCAATAAAGAGCATGACGTGGTCACCCAATTTATACTTTTATAGTTTCCTCTGATACCACAAGCCTTTTTTCCCCCCTTCCATTCCTACTATGAGTTCACACTCTATCAGAGATGGGCATTTGTCATTCAGAATAATGAATAAAGAATGATGAATAATTATTCAAAATCTGAATAATGAATGATGAATAAAGATTTATTCATTAGTCAGAAATATTTTGAATAAAGAATAAATCATTCATTATTCGTTATTCAGTATCCTTTATTCATTAGTCAAAAATAACTGAATAATTTCACTGGTCAACAAAAATGGGCACGCAATACTCTAATTGACTACGATTATGACAACTACAAATAAAACG